GGAATACAATAAAGAAAATATACTCCCTCAATTTACTTTTCTTTCTCTCAGAACTCAGATTAAATACCAGGTGAGGTGTTTGAACAATTTTAAATTTAGTAAGCATTGATATATAACAGAAGCCAGTTGCAAGAAAGAGCTGGAAAAATGATTCTTACGACGATGTGATCCAAATGTTTGGCTTCCACTCCACCACCATCTTCTGAGTTACATCATTTGATCTGATTTTTCTAACTCATGGGCTATCATGGTTCAGTCTGGTGTTGAGTGATTTCATAAATCATATTCATGATCTTGTCCCTGTGTTATTTCCAAGAATGTGGCTTTGATGAATAAACAATAGTTATAACGTGTTTGCTTCTATCACGCGTACATTTAAAATTATAAAATCTCAATGTTGCATAAGCTTAGAGTTTCACTGCATATATTGTGTTGGCTTAGACTGTGTTGGTTTTGTCAGCCTTTACTCTGCTATACAGAGAAGAAAGAGAAGTTTCCTAAATATGGGAAATCTGTAATTTTTCTTTTGAAACAAAGTCCATCTTGCTGTTGCTTAATGGGGTCAAGGAAGGAGTTCTGGGGTCCCTTCTGAGAGTTCGTGGAGAGCTGTGCAGTCTGCTCTGTGATCCCAGCTTGTAGTGATAGGATGCAGAGACCTGGGATAGACAGATTTTATTTCACAGGGGCTGGTGGTCACTGGGTCATCAGGTAGACATCCGCTCAAAACCTAGAGTGGAGGCAATATTTACTCCTTTTAAATCACAAAAAATCATATCATCTGCAAAGCAGCTACGTCTACTTTAATATTCAGAGGGAAAAGGAGGCACTTGGCAGCTTTGTGTGCTTTCTTTTTTAGTCTTTACAGTGCTGGAACCGGCTCGCCCTAGCTTGCCAGAGCCAATTGCACACAGCTCTTCCCAACTCCATGATAAGTGACATCATATTGGTAACTTGAAATTGGCCATTGTGGGAGTAATTTACACCAAAGAAATTGGTAAATGCTACCAATCTTGTTTTTTTTGTCCCCCCCCCCCTTCAGGGTTGTTAAACATTTAAGAGCATATCACTGGTTTTATATCTAATTTGTTCTCCCCTTTGATACTTCATCATAAAAGTCATCATCCCAGCTAATGTTTATTAGTCACTTTATACGCATTAGGCTCTGTGCTAAGATCCTTCACGTGTTCTTTTCTTTAATTCTCACAAAAACCTTATGAGCTAATTCTGTGACCTCGGCTGCTTTTTGAAGAATGCTGAAGATGCGCAGACTTTATTTCACCGGTACAACTTGTGGATGAGGAAACTGGGACTCAGCAAAATGATGTAATTTTTTCAGGGTCACATAGCATGTAAGTAGTAGACTGGGGACTGAAATCTCTGGCTGACTCATGCTCGTAACCACCATATGCTATGGTCTTCCCCAGCATAGATGTGGTAGAAAGCTTTCTGGGCTCAAAATCATGACATCCTGGTGCTAGTGTACTCTCTACACCCAGCCTGACACCTGATCTCTCAGAGCCTCATCTATAAAGTGAAGGTAGTGACAATAATGCTGTTGAGCTCATGTGGTTTTACTGCTTAAATGATAGTATATATAAGATTGATTTGGAAAGCCCAAGTACTATATAGATGGGAGATATCATTACATGCTAGGGAAAGATGGTCACAAAAAGAGCATCCCAGTTCAGAAGATTCAGCTGAAGTGGATATTTTGTATAAATGTAGGTTCTAAGGAATCTTACAGTGAATATTTTTGGGTGAACTGGCAGGACCTTTATCTGGCAATGTCTAAATTTATCTCTTGGAATTCATTGGCTTTGGGTCTCCCTAGCCTTCTCAGACAGTCTTGTAAAAAAGGCAGTGCTATGAATGGCGAATGCCTTATACGAATCCAATTATTAACAAGACAGGTCCGAGCTGGAAAGTTGAAATTTGGTGACTTTAGGGAGAATTTTTGATTTGTTATGTCTATTTTTTAATAAAGAGGTCCTTTTACTATTCCCATACCTGTTTACACTTTCAGCAGTCAGCATATTTCGTTGTAGTTATTTATTTCAGGTTAATCTTCTGCACTGTACTAACAACTCTCCACTGATGTCAAATAACCATTTTATCACTATAGAATCCCCCGCACCAAGTACTGAGATTGGCCGCTAGTATTGCCTCATATATATCTACTGAACAAGTGCGTGGGTGAGCTAATTCATTCTGTGCACTTATTCATAACAGGCCCTTGTTTCTTTGAGCTACTTCTCATTCCATTAGTTTGCTGAATTAACAAATATGTACTACAGTTGCATAGAAGCCGACAAACCTAAGATGCCTGATCTGATATGATTTTTAAACAAATGATTTAAAAGATTTTCAGATGAGCCTTCCACTTTGTGTCTGGTTTAACTTACCATTGACAACAATCTTACTAATTTTTCTTCGCTGGTTGGAGTATACTAAGACTGTCAACTTCTGTCTTCTGCATTTTCATCTGTGGAACACCAGGGAGAAACTGGATTTCTTTTTGTAAATTTGGGATATCAGCAGCTCTCAATATGGTTTCACAAAAATCTGTATTTGTGAAAGCTCCACATGTGATTCTAATCCACAAGTAGGTGTGATGACGTCGCGTTAGAAGATTCTATTTGTTAAATATGCTTTTTTAGCTGGAAGGAGTGAAGGGAAATGCTTTAACACATATTTATTCTCTCATCTTATAGATGAAGTATGTACAATGGTAATACAGCACATAAAATGCAGTTATCTAAGCACTAAATGAAGTTTCTCACATGCTGCTTGAACATCTTAATAAATTAGAGAGCAGAGAATCATTGTTTTGGTAATTATTCAAAAAATAATATGAGGACTTCCATTTATTTGCTCTATCTCCCAACTAAAATATATTACTTTAGTACTCTTGGGCAATAAATCCTTTTTGATATAATTACTAGAAATTAATCAGGACTAGACTAGTATGATAAGAAAATTCCATCTTCTAAGTTATGTCTCAGGAAGTTAGAAATATCATTCTAGGCACCATCAATAACTTTATAGCTTCCTATGAGACAAGTAAGTAGAAACAATTATTTTATTGATAGTAGAAGTTCTAAGGACAGTAAATTAAAGTGTTCAGGATTGCAATTAGATGCCTGGCAGTTAATCAAGTCAATTATCTGATAATTTATATGTCAAGCCTCATAATTTATACTCCAACTTATAGACATACCGTATGTAGTCAACAAATATAAAATAGACTCCTCAATTCTTTCTTTTAAAAACCAGTAGATAGCTGACAGATTAGAAACTCCACAGTTCTGATAGTAAATATTGCAGTACATTTGTTCATAGGTCAGCAAACCGATGTAATTAAGGAAAAATAGTACTTATTAAAATAAGTGAAACAAGGAGAAAATATCAATCAGGGCATACTAGATTTGTCTGCTTTTTTGAAAATCCATCCAATACAAGAATTTGTAAAGTAATATTTCTTATGCTCCTTTAGCAGATCGACCTGGGTGTAAAAACAAAAAAAAAAAGAAAACACAAAACTGGGACGTTTTGTAACGAGTCATCACCAGTACTTCAAAGTATAATTAGTAGAATTACTGGGCTGGGAATGAGCTCTTTCTGTTAAAAAGAACTTCTGCTTTTTAAATCACAAGATATTAATTTATACTAGAGACAGAAGAGAACATATTCTATCATTGATGAAAACAGCCACCTTTAAAACACTTGCCTGCCATCAGAACGGGAGGCCTCATGGTTTATAAATCTATATGGTCCATAGAGAAGTGCTATTGGGTTGGATCATACAGGAGGTGAAGGAATAAATAAAATTCTGTTTAACAGGCTTGGGGAGAACGACTCTTGATGTCAACCCCAGGCATCTGAACCAAAGACTAGCAGATGGCTTCATCATGCATTTATCAGTTCAAGCAATATTGTTTAAGCATTTCTTGTGTAAATATACTGTCTCCATGTAATTTGTAAGTAAAAGCTGCTCCCGAGACTTTACATACGAGAAGAGGCAGGTAGGAGGGGATGCGTCAACTGAAGATGGCTACTGGGAACATTCAAGGGCTCCAAACTGCCTAGGGTTTTCTTTCATCTGTGCTCATGTCACATCTGACCCTACAACCCCTTCCTGCCACCAACTTATTAATGAGCTATTTATCCACAGGTGTTCCCTCCTTTGTTTACTCAATTGGATTTAACAGTCCTGTGCCTGCTCTGAGTAGGTGGGGAGGGAGTGCACGGCGGGGACCTTCATTTACTTGGGAAAGTTCCGCTTCTGTGCTGGGGTGGGCACTATTGGGTATAGAACAGTCCTTCTCATAACTGGTTGACTAGTTGCCCAGGCTGGTAGCATGGGGCAGTGCCTTTTGCCTTGCTTTGGGGAACAACTGTATTCTGTGGCTGGGTGTCCTCGTCCCTGGAGAGGTAGGAGAGGGAATAGTGGGCAGGGAGCCATGTCAAGGATGTTTGTCTTCTGCGAGAGACTCTCCCTGATTCACTGACTCCTTGTTTTCCTACGAAAATCATCACCTTCATGTTCATTGGAGAAAAATGACCTTTGAGAGAGGAGATTACGGTTATTTGCTAAAACTATGACTGTCCTCATGGCTTCTGAGGAAATGTAAAGGATCCAGGACCAGGGAGGGAAGGCACGGACTCAGAGTGGGTTAGCGTGAAGAATGTTCGTGATGGAGTGCTAGAGGATGTGTCTTGTGCATTGGATCTCTGCTTTTCAGCTTCCATTTTGGTTATTTAAAAATACCAGAATGAATTAAATTGGTGGAATCTCAAATGAGGTTCCTTTTGAGAATAGAAGCTGCCAGAACAGCCTGATATGGGGGTATGAAGAGGCATCTGAGGTGGGGAATCTATATCACTTTTTTTTTTTTCCAATTAAAACCCTACGTTCCTGCTATTTACACAGGTTTTCTTCTCCCTTTCTCCATCCCCTTTGTATCTGGTATTTCTCCCCTCGACTCCTCCTTTTTTCCCAGGTGTGTTTGATAACTGCTCCCACACTGTCAGTGACAAGGGCTGGGCCCTGGGGATCCGCTCAGGAAAGGACAAGGGAAGGCGAGACGCTCGCTTCTTTTTCTCTCTCCGCACTGACCGCGTGAAGAAAGCCACCACTGTCACTGGCCACAGTCGCTACCAACCAGGCACATGGACACACGTGGCAGCCACTTACGACGGACAGCGCATGGCCCTGTATGTGGATGGAACACGGGTGGCCAGTAGCACAGACCAGTCTGGTCCCCTGAACAGCCCCTTCATGGCGTCCTGTCGCTCTTTGCTTCTGGGGGGGGATGGCTCTGAGGATGGGCACTATTTCCGTGGACACTTGGGCACACTGGTCTTTTGGTCAACCGCCCTCTCACAAAGCCACCTCCAGCACAGTCCTCAGCATCCAGGTGGGGTGGAGGAGTTGACCCCCTTGATCCTGACAGCCAGTTTTGAGTCCCTGAGAGAACAGTGGGCCCCCTTTAGAGATGAGAAGTACCCACGGCTTGAGGTTCTCCAGGGCTTTGAGGCAGAGCCTGAGATTCTGTCACCTTTGCAGCCCCCTCTTTGTGGGCAAACGGCTTGTGACAATGTGGAACTCATCTCCCAGTACAATGGGCACTGGCCCCTTCGGGGAGAGAAGGTGATCCGCTACCAGGTGGTGAACATCTGTGATGATGAGGGTCTGAACCCCATTGTGAGGGAGGAGCAGATCCACCGGCAGCACGAGGCGCTGACCGAGGCCTTCAGCCGCTACAACATCAGCTGGCAGCTGAGTGTCCACCAGGTCCACAACTCCACCCTGCGCTACCGGGTCGTGCTTGTGAACTGTGAGCCCAGCAAGATTGGCAATGACCACTGTGACCCCGAGTGTGAGCACCCGCTCACAGGCTATGACGGGGGCGACTGCCACCTGCAGGGCCGCTGCTACTCCTGGAACCGCAGGGACGGGCTCTGTCATGTGGAGTGCAACAACATGCTGAATGACTTTGACGATGGGGACTGCTGCGACCCTGATGTGGCTGATGTGCGCAAGACCTGTTTTGACCCCGACTCGCCCAAGAGGTAAGGAGCTTGGGTTTGGGGTGTCCTGCTTGCAGGGTGCGTTTCTAACATCATTTTACTCTTTAAAAAATTGTTTTTTATTGAAACATAGTTGATTGTACATATCTGTGTGGTACAGAGTTGAATATCAGTACTTGTGTGCAATATGGGATGCTCAGATCAGGATAATTAGTATATTCAATGTTATGCAATGTAATCGTTTTTCATGGCTCTTTACCGATGCTTACATCAAAAGAATAGAAAAATCTTAAATGAACAACCTAATGCTGCACCTCAAAGAACTAGAAAAAGAACAATCCAATCTCAAAATTAGTAGAGGGAAAGAAATAATTAAGATCGGAGCCAAACTAAATGAAATAGAGACCCCAAAAATGATAAAAAAGGATCAATGAAACAAAAAGTTGGCTTTCTGAGAAGATAAACAAAATACACAAACTATTAGCTAGGCTAACTAAAAAAAGAAGAGAGAAGACCTAAATAACAAAAATCAGAAATGAAAAAGGAGACGTTACCTTTTTAAAAAATTAATTAATTTTTTGTATCAAAACGATTGTACATATCGGTGGGGTAGAGTGTTGAATATCAATACCCGTGTGCAATATGTGATACTCAAATCAGGATATTTAGTATATTCAACATTATACAATGTAGTCATTTTTATGCCCCTTTCCCAATTTCTCACTAACTTCCCCTCTCGCTCCCCCTTTCCCACCTCTGGTAGTCTCAGTTCTGTTCTCTTCTTTTGAAAGTTCACGTTGTTTTACTCTTTTGGATTCTGGAGACAAAAAAGGGTTCACACAATCCCTAAATAAAACATTCATCCACCCCATCAGGCACTACAGAGCTTTTGAGAAATGCTAGCATTTTGTTAGAGACGACCAAGAAAAAGGACAGCCCTCACGAACTCACTGCAGGGAACAGACAACGGTGTGCACAGACATTCATCCACCCCATCAGGCACTACAGAGCTTTTGAGAAATGCTAGCATTTTGTTAGAGATGACCAAGAAAAAGGACAGCCCTCACGAACTCACTGCAGGGAACAGACAACGGTGTGCACAGAGTGGAGTGCAGCTGAAGATGCATGCGCCAGGTACCTGCAGCACAGAAAAGCTGAGCAACTTACTCTACCAGAGGAGGCCAGGGAAAAGGACACTGCGATAGAAACCACTCAACACCAAGTGTACATAATCATTCTTCCTGTAGCCTTAAGATCTCAGCAAAGTAACACACGTCCACGAAGAGGTCTCATGTCTGCTTAGTCTCTGGTGCAGTCTGAGCAGTTCAGCAGTTTCATGAGCACAAGATGTTCTACATCCAGCCATCTAGACTAGACATCTAGTCTTCTTTGGGTGGCTGGGGTCTTCCATTTTCCTGTTAAATTCCATTCTCCATGCAGTATCCAAAAATGATCTTTTGATAGAGATAAATCAGATCCTGTCATTCCCCTTCTTAAAATTTTTTTCCCACTGCACTTAGAATAAAATCTAAACTCTCCACTTGGCGCACGTGTTATGCTGCCATCTGACCCCTGCCTACCTCTCCAGTTTCCTCCTGCCAACCACTTTACCCCTGACACAGCACAGCCTCACTGACTCGGTTCTGTTCCATCGACAGATCAAGCTTGTTTCTGCCCCCAGGGTTCTGAGTTGGTTGTTCCATCTCCTTGGAATCCTCTTTTCCTTGATCTTCCCTTGGTGTTTCCTCTCTCATCATTCAAATATCTACTTAAATATTACCTCCGGGGGAGGCCTTTTCTGATCTCCCAATTTAATGCAGCTACTCAGTCACTATTACATCACCTAGTTTGAACTCCCTATATAACACTTGTCACTTCTGATGTTTTTCTGTGCTCTAGTGTGTTTGTCTGTCTTTCTCTTGTCTGGAATATAAGCTCCATGAAATTGGGGGCTTTGTTTTTTCTGTTAACCACTACATTTCCAGTGGCTAGAATAGCAGCTGACATAAAGTTATCTCATGTTTATTTTGATGAACGAATATATCTGATGTGTCTTCAGTTCTGAGACAGAAGCCAAAAAGATTCTCATTTGATAGCTGATGTAGGGGTTGGGGGTGTTAGAGGGAGATGAGAAAGGAGGTAGGTAGGTGGTAAACTTGTGAATCTGTGTGTGTTGACAAGGCATCCCCAATACATAATGGGTACCTATGTTCAAATTATAAAAAAGATTCACCTGAACTAGGGTGTAAGGTTGGTAGGAAGTGGTAGGACCATATCTCAGCTCCCATCCAGTACCTGGATGGCTCCCTTTGTGCTGAGAACAATTTGTATGGTAGCTCATGGAATCCCTGTGTGGGACAGTTCTCTTGGTGTCAGTTAACACTAAAAGACTAACAGGCTGGCCTGTAGTTTAGGCATGTGGTGTTGAGTACTGAGTGTAAAATTTGGAAGAAAGGGGTGTAGTTAAATTCTAAAGTCCTTCCTACTTAACCAGGTATGCAGGTTATGCAAGTCACTTTGTGAAACACAGATATCTTGTCTATAAAATATGGGTGAATGCAGTAATACTTTGCATTATCTATATCCTAGGGTTGTTTTGCGAATCAAATGAAATAAAGTATAGGAAAGTGTTTGGTAACCCTAAAGTTTTCAATGTACGCAAATACTTCTAAACTAACATTAGCTATTTATCATTATTAGAGCTGACAGATGGGAAGTCTTTGTTTACATAAGGATGCACAGGGGACTGACCAAATTACCAAAAATGTTTTCAAAAAAGGATTGTGTCTAGGTTTGGTTTTTAGATTTTGATAACCTTAAGTAGAAGTTAAACCTCACTAACAGCAGTGGTTGGCAACTTTTAGGATCCCTGTGAGATGAGGAAGTCTGGCCTGTTCCCACTTGTCTCCTAGCTCATTACAACAACCCCCTTCCCTAGCTGAGAGAGCCATCTTTCAAGGTTCCCCGGGTGTCCTTTGTGCTTCTAGATCCCTGCCACTTCCTCCCCTCCCTGCCACAGAGCTGCAGTGGAAACTCCTTCCTTTCTACATGTAGACCCAGAGGTGTTTCCGACCTTTATTCATAAGCGACTCTCTTACCCTTATAGACAAAACCTGCCTTGTGGAATATAAAGGAAATAATTACATTTTTTTGATAGTTAAAAGTATTTAAATGACAGTGGGAACCACACTTTTAAATCTCTACTTACGATGCTTTAAAAAACAATAATTATCTGTAAATTTTTTCTTTTGGAAGAAGAAATCTGAAGGCAGAAACATAGTAGAGAGGAGAGGTTTTCTGTTTTCTACTTCTCTTGTATTTATTTCATGTGAAGATTTTCCCCCTCCCCTTTCTTCTGCCTTATATTCTTTGTGTTGAATTATTATTATTAAAAATATCTCTTATTGGCAAGAACAATATTTTGAAAAACTGTTATTTATCAAGTTCCTATGATGTGCTAGATGCAGTAAGCTAAGCAGAGAGATAAATATAAAGAATATATAAAGGGTAAGAGCTAACAATTTAGAGGAGAAGTTTAGTAATTTTATCAAAATTCACTGAGTTTAAATTCAGGCTGAGGCACTAAAATCAGAACATGGGGTTTATAGACTGCTTTTCTCTGCCATGGCTTGAATTGTTTGAAAGAACTTTAGCTTCATAGAGACATAGGTCTCTGGGTTTCTATGCGGTCCTGTGGCATGGTAAGGTTATTGGTTGTCTGTAAACTGAATTACCTATGTATAGCATGCCTATTATTACAATTAACTCGCAGAACTCAAGCTCACAATTCCATTATACTGGGATTATGAAGGGATCCAACTTCAACAAGCATGGTAAGGTTATTGGTTGTCTGTAAACTAAATTACCTATGTATAGCATGCCTATTATTACAATTAAATCGCAGAACTCAAGCTCACAATTCCATTATACTGGGATTATGAAGGGATCCAACTTCAACAAATGCATTGCCAGACATTTACTGAACAGAGTTTTCCAGGCACAGAATCCTTTCACTTGGAGGCTCATAGTTTAGTGGGGGGTATTGGAAAGTGGCAGACAGACCAATACATAGGACACTAACATTCAAGTACAATGATTGATATATGAACAATTCTCTCTTCCCAAATCCTACTGAGCCTTCCTGCTGTGGGTTGAATATGTTCCCAAAATCATGTGTTGGACAGGAAATCTCCAATGCGAATGTGATTAGAGGTGGGACCTTTAAGAGGTAATTAGGTCATGAGGGCTCTGCCCTATTGAATAGATCAATGCTGTTATCATGGGAGTGGGTTAGTTACCATGGGAGTGGGTTCCTCATAAAAGGATGAATTTGCCACCTTTACCCCACACTCTTACTTGCCCTTTCACCTTCTGCCATGGGCAAGAAGGCCCTCACCAGCTGTGGCCCCTCGACCTTGGACTTTCCAGCCTCCAGAACTGTAAGAAATAAGTCTCTGTTCTCTATAAATTACTCAGCTTTGGGTATTCTGTCATAGCAGCACAAAATGAACTAAGACACTTTCCTCCACCCCCAGCAAGAAACCAGAAACCTAGCCCAAAGTAGTTTGTCTCCCAAAGGCTCTGAGAGCCTGAGGAATCCAGTATCAAACATCTGTAACCCAGATGGGCTTATCAAAGGGAGAGTACTTATCAGGCTTGGGACTGGTGAGGAGGAGTTTTGAATTATAGATGCATTATCCAGCCAGTTGAACAAAATTACCAAGATAGAGAAACTTGGCTTCCCTGACCTTTATAGCCTTCAGCTTCTTTTTGGTCATTAATTGTTTCTGTTATTTTTCTCCCTAAAAGTATGTCTCAGAGATAGGATTCTTTGCTGCTACATTCCTTGCTTTCTCTCCTTTTCACAGCAGAGTTGAGCTAAATATCCACCCAAATCTGGAACTGTGTGCTTGTCTCTCTTTTTTGGTTTCTAGGTCTCAGATCTCATAAAATTATTATGATGTGGAGAAAAATCACCAAATAAAAACAAATGGCCGAGCACAGTTTAAGCAGGCTATCAATCACCTGGTGTCAGACCATGC